GCAGCAGCAGCAGCAGCAGCGCCCGCCGCCGCCGCCGCCGCCGCCAAGACGGGCTTCCGGAGCGCCCGGCGGAGCGTGGGATCTTCCAGGGCTCGCCTGCCGCTGCCGCTGCCGCGCGTCCGAGCCGCCGCCGGCGTTCCCCGCTCGCGCTCTCGATGGCTTTCCTGAATGGCTGACTGCGGGCTTTTCTCGATCTGGCCCCCAGACACCAGCCGCCGCCGCCGCCGCCGCCGCTCTGCCTGCAACGCCGCCCGGCTGCAAGAGCGGGAGGGAGGGGGAGACCTTTGAAGGGACGCGCGCCTCTCTCTCTCTCTCCCCCCACCTACACCATTTTGTATTTTTACTTTTCCTCCTCCTTTTGCTACCAGACAATCGCCTCGAACCTGCCGCCTCCCGGCTGCCTCCCTCCTCCTCTCTTCCTCCTCGCTTCCCTGCTTGCACTCTTTCTCTTTCCCCTCTTTTTTAAAAAAGCAAATATTCTTCCCCCTCTTCAGCCCTCTTTTCTTTTCTTTTCCTTTTTCTTTCTTCCTTTTTTCGGGGGTGGCCCGCATTATTTACAATTTTGCCAGCCCTGCAAGGACGGGAAAAATAACAACGAGAAGAAGAAGGAAAGAAAGAACGGAACATTGAATTAAATTAAAAGAGAGGGCCGGGAGCGGGGGGAGAGAGAGAGGGAGACCAGAAAACATACACCGCCGAGCAACTTCTAAGAAGGAGCGAAAGAAAAAAAGGAAGCGAGTTTGCCAACACGAACTGGGAGAGAAAGCGAGGAAAGAATAAAAGAGGAGCGAGGGAACAGGAGTAAAAGTGGACGACCTGGTGTATAAATACCGAGAACTCTCCAGGCCGATTTGCTTGGGATCCGCCGTGCGAGGAGGCGAACGGCTGGCCGCAGGCAGCTACGGGGGGGCGAGCGATTTGGTCAAGGTGTCCCTTAGATATGGCAATGGTAGTTGGTGCGTGGCGAGACCCGCAGGACGATGTCGCCGGCCCGCAAGGGACGCAGCCTTCCCAAGCCCCCCCTGTGCCGGGACCCCCGGCGGGCGCCCCGCACACCCCGCAGACGCCGGGGCAAGGGCCCCCCCCCCAGCACTCCGGTGCAGTCCAACCAGGGCAGCCAGCAGAGCCAGGGCGACAAGCAGCAGCAGCAGCAGCACATTGAGTGCGTGGTCTGCGGGGACAAGTCCAGCGGCAAGCACTACGGGCAGTTCACGTGTGAAGGCTGCAAGAGTTTTTTCAAGCGCAGCGTCCGCAGGAACCTCAGCTACACGTGCCGCGCCAACCGGAACTGTCCCATTGACCAGCACCACCGCAACCAGTGCCAATATTGTCGCCTCAAAAAATGCCTGAAGGTTGGCATGAGACGGGAAGGTATTGGAATTTCATTTGTTTTGCACTTCTCACCACCCTGCGGGACTCCCGGGCAGGACAGGGGCAGCCTCCGCATTTTTGGCGTGCGTATGCGAACTTAGAGCAGCATTTCTTCCGGAGATTTTCTGCCCATCTCAGTAGAATATAAGCGGTGTGGATATTATCTGTGTTTTATTATACTGTATATACACAGCCCATTCTTTAAGGAAAAACGGAGGGCTTTCAGCAGTGGAGTGAGGGTCCTTTTCCGTGGGGAGGGAGAGGTTAGGGGGTTCAAGGCAGCAATGTATGTGTGAATGCACCACGGGTGTCCATTTCAGGAGAATGTATGTAGGCGTCCCCACATCTCGGCAAACTTCTTGGAACGATGCTTTAGGACGGACTCACTGAGGTCCAGCAAAAAGGGGGCTCCCTCCAAGCGCGGACCCAGGCAAGCTGTTGATGGGGGGGCGGTTCCTTCGCGTAGCCCCGTGCCCTCCCCTGACGTCCCCCTCTCCTGCTCGCAAGAAGCCCCCAAGACCCTTAGCGCCAGGCAAACTTCTTCCTTCTTCTCTCGCCTTCCCTCCCCCGTAGCTAATAATCGTCATTAATAAATTATTCATCGATGGATCGATCCATCGATCGATAGCGAGGGGTTTGCAGTCGAGTCTCCCCTTCGGAATTCCGCCGGGCTCTCCCAAACTTGCTCCGTGCCTGTCCCGGGGAAGAAAGAGAAGGAAAACCCCAGGAAGGAGAGGGCGCGTTGTGCTCGCTCTCTTTCTCCGGCAGCCCCTTTTCGCTGCGCGTCGCGGCCCTCAGAACCGTGATTTCACGTGTGGATTATTACTCGGTGGGTGGTGGGTCGGGAAGGGAAAGAGACCGAGTCGGGGCGGGGTGCGTGGGGGACTCGGAGCCCCGGGAGGAGACAAGAATAAAGTGCTTAAACGCCCGAGAGGCAGAGTCCGGGCCTGGAGCAAGATGGAGCTTCGCCGAGGAAGGCGGCGAGCGGGGCAGGCGAGCCTGCGCCCCCCCGATGGCGTTGCGTCTGGATTATGTCTGCGCGCTCAGCCCCGCTCCCCCCGGCTCTCCTCACGCTCCGTCCCCACCTTGGGCCGCGCTGGAAGCCCGCTTCTGCTGCGGGGCCGCCTCGCTCTCGGCCCGGCCCTCGCCCGCCGTTCCCCGGGTGCCTCTGACTCTCTCCCTCGCTCTCTTTCATTTTCTCTCTCTCTGTCATCACCATGTAAATTTATGAACCAAATGAAAGGCCCACTTTCCATAAAACAGCCGATCCCGGGGCTTTCCGAGGCTTCCCCACCCCCTCCGCGAATGCGTGGAAAGATAACAATAGAGCCCAGAATGCAGAAAACATTTTCCATGTGTACTGACCTTTTTTCGGCTCTTTATCTCGGAAAGAGTCAAAGGAATCCCCTTCTGTCGTTTTGGGACAGAGGGATTGAATACTGGGGCGGGGTGGGGTGTTGCCCCCTGGCCTGCCAGCTCGCTCTCTCGTTCTCTTTCCCTCTCAAATTCTGTAAGGACTTAAAAGAGAAGAGCTTTGGGGAAATAGAAAGAGGATTTTAAGATGTGGAGTGATCTAAGACAGGAGTCTTCTCGGCAGCAGCTCGTGTTTTGCCTGTGGGGTCTCCTTTTAACGCGGGAGGAGACGTGCCCACACTCCTTTCGCCACCCTTTGGATCCCCCAAAAGTCCTAAATGCCCCCCACACCAGATCCAGGCAGAAAGGGCAGATTTTGCATTTGAGCCGCGCCACCCCCTGAAGCATTTCCCGAGGCATGAATGGTTGCCCTTTCAGCACTTGGGGGGATGAGGGGAGCGTGGAGGGGTCCCCGTCTCTCTCCGTCCCCCTCCTTGACCCTCCCGAGTCTCTCTGATTAGCCCCCTCCCCTTGACCCTGATCCCCCTCCCTGGGAAGGGCAGCTTTCGACGTTGGTGCAAGCACCACTGGGCTTCCTCGCAATTCAGATATTAATTGCTGTAGTTTCTTCCTTATTTACTGCAGCCGTCCAGAGGGGCAGAATGCCACCCACACAGCCGACCCACGGCCAGTTCGCCTTAACCAACGGGGACCCCCTGAACTGCCACTCGTACCTCTCCGGATATATCTCCCTGTTGCTGAGGGCAGAGCCTTACCCGACTTCCCGCTTCGGCAGCCAGTGCATGCAACCCAACAACATCATGGGCATTGAGAACATTTGCGAGCTGGCAGCCCGGATGCTTTTCAGCGCCGTCGAGTGGGCCCGGAATATCCCCTTTTTCCCCGACCTCCAGATCACAGACCAGGTGGCCCTGCTGAGGTTAACCTGGAGCGAGTTGTTCGTCCTCAATGCTGCCCAGTGCTCCATGCCCCTCCACGTCGCCCCGCTCCTGGCAGCCGCCGGCCTGCACGCATCGCCCATGTCCGCTGACCGCGTTGTCGCCTTTATGGACCACATACGAATCTTCCAGGAGCAGGTCGAGAAACTCAAGGCCTTGCACGTGGATTCGGCGGAATACAGCTGCCTGAAGGCCATCGTCCTCTTCACCTCAGGTAAGGCGGACGGTCTTCTTCCAGGCGGACCTGGCGGGGTGGGTGGCCGGGAGGGGGGCAGCTTCTTGCAAGAGAATCCAGAAGGCCACTTTCCTCCCGCCCCCCCGCCCCCCACCCCCCTCAGCCTGCCCGGTTTTCCTGGAGGAAAACGTGCAGCACAAAATGGCTCGGGGATGCTTCGTGCCCTGGTGGTTCCAGGCGGTGCAGGCTTGGAGACAGCCTGCCTGGCTCCAGCCCGGCTGCACGCCTGCTTCCTCGGGAGTAAGGCCTGGCCTACCCAGGGTTAGACTGGCTGTGCTTAGGACTGAAGTTAGCGAGGCTATCCCATCGCTGGAAGGAAGGAGGGAAGGGGGGCGCAGGGAGAGAGGTGGGAAAGAAAGAGAAAGCAAGAATATTTTCCCAAATCTGCTTTCACCAGTCTGTGCACTCCGGGAAGAAGAACTTTTTACTGAGCCATGTGGGGACCCTGTTGTTGCTGCTGCCGCTGCTGCTGGGAGTCAGAATTTCACTGGGGTTGCAATCCCACCTGGAAGGAAGTCCAGCTGCACATAGACGGACTCACCCCAGACTAAACCTGCAGGGGATTTTGCTATGGCTATTGAAGTAGCACAAGCTTTGGATTGATCCCCTTCAAGGACAGCAAGCTCTGAAATAATAGAGAATGCCAGTGTCTGGATCTCTTTGCCCTTTCTAAATTTAAAAATACAATTTAGAATAAATACATCTGTGGAATGATTTTACCAGGAAAGAATCTAGCTGGAAGGGAAGTGGCTAAAATCAAGCCATGTTTTAGGATGATAAAGTTTAGCTCTGAGTGTGCACTGCAACTAAATTCTCTTATATTCACATTGATCAGGTTCTGGAAGGGGTGAGGGCAAAAAAGAGACCCCACTGTGGGAGCTGGTGGCCTCCTAAAAGTCTTTCAGCAGAAAGGAAACAGGTTTTGTCCTTCAGTTAGCAGGGGCTAGAAGGTCTTTTTAAAAACAACAAAAAGCAAACTACTGTGTTTTTGGAATTCAAGTTGCTGCACTCTAAAGAACAGCCCAGCAGCTGTGGCAATATTCACCAATTACAGAAGGTGCCTTTGCGACAGTAATTTGGGAACAGTAAAGTTGGGGTTTATTTTTTCCCTTTTCCAAAGTAATCCACGTAGAAAAGGTGTCACTTAAACCATCAAAGGCATCAAGGGAGCAAAAAAGCAAAACTGGGGAGAGAAAACACCTATATTTCTGTGCCAACTTTCTGCTGCATATAAATAGTGCTACAGTTATAAAACAATAATGGAATGCATGATGAAATCTAATTAGCAGTGGTTCAACCTGGGTGAGTAATATATCTGATATTAACTCTGGAGGCGAAATAAATTCAAACCATGCACGCCTTTTTGTTGTTTTTGTTTTCCTTTTTTGATTACAATTCACCCGGTCAGGCCAGTAACGGTAAGCCTGACACACTGTCAAGAGAACCCATTTCTGTCTATTTCTGTGCCTAGAAATTTTCTTTCTTTTGTAAGGAGTAGGATAACTTGAGGAAATGGCCATGCAATAACCATATACATGGAAGATCGGTAAAATAATTTACTCATCAGATGATTTTTAAATAGACACCCACTTACTCCACACACACACACACACACACACACACACACGCCTAGTGATGTAAAGAAATAGGCTGAGCGGACTGTACTTTATGTGGGAAAATGAGGACTTCCAATCCGTCCTTGTTGCAATGAGTGCGTTTAGGAGAACCAAATGCCTTTCTGGATTTTGTCCAAAATTTAGGTCATGACCCGAGCTTCCTTTTTATATATTATTTCTTTTTATAGTTACATCCCTCCCCACTCCCTAAACATTCATTCCCCACCCAAATTACTTGGGTTAAAAGACTATGGATTAGCAGGGAGAAAGCGACGAAGTGTCTGCCCGCCAAGCGCCTTTCCTCCCGGTTCCTGGAGCTCCGAGAGGCCCTCGCAACCCTCCCAGAGCGCTGCCTTCCAAGAGCTCGTCCCCAACATTTGTAGCATCAGCTGCATGGTTGTTATTAATATTGTTACCTTTCCGGGAAACTCTGCACACTGTTGTCTCAAGTGCTAAATTTATGGCTGTTTGCAAAATGTGGATCTGCATGTAAATTGCCTTCCCAGCTTAGATAAAGCTTCTGTTATCTGATTTTTGTGGGGTTATAAAACAGAGGTGGGGGGAGAACGGATGTGGGGATTTGCTAGTGAAGACGCCCCAACACCAGTGTGGCTGCCGCGTAGTCAGATGCACAGAGGCTCAGGCGATATTTTCGAGGGCGTCCTCTCGATCGCTCTCCGGATTGTAATGGCTTTCAAAATATGCATGTGCTACTCCTTCGCCCGGGCAGTGGAGGTCACAACCTGCACCGAGGCAGTTTCCAAAGGGTCCTTATTGTATTTCAGCCTGTCAAATCTCTCTCAATGCTTTAATTTAAAAAATAATGTAAATAAATTCCGATCTCATCTTCTCTTCGGGACGATTTAAAAACGTGTGTGTGTGTGTGACAAGAAAGAAAGAAAGAAAGACAGACAGACAGAAAGAAAGAAAGACAGAAAGAAAGACAGAAAGAAAGACAGAGAGTTGGAGGTGGGGAGAGAAACCGCTCTAATGAAGAGAGCGATCACACTTTTGCTTGACTGCCCTTGAATAGGCTGAACTGACAAGATCAGTTTTAAAGGACCACTTAAATCACTTTCAAAGACTGAGCGAAACTGCGGTGTCTCCTTTAGGGGGGAATCGCTTTTTGGGAGCGGGTTCCATTATCCTGAGCTGAGCTCGTTTCTGAACGTGTGTGGGGTTCGTTCTTTCTTCTCCAACTCCCTTTGCTGGCCTTGCTGATTGGACTGAACAATTATTTTCCGAATGTGTCTGGTGTGCTGTCTTGTCTTTCTCTCCCCCCTCCCGCGTCCAAAAGACCCCCCATACACACGCGCACGCACCCACCAGCATCCCCACGGAATGGAAATCTTTAGAGGTCTTTGTGAAGGGGGGGGCAAAACAATTCTAAAAGCAGGCCCTCCCCCTCCCAGCCTGCAAAATCAGGGAAAATCCAGCGATGAGGCACATTTGGTGCTTTATCTTAGGGTTCATCTACTGAACTCAGAAGGAAGTCCTGCACGATTCAGACCGTGTTTACTCGAAAGGAAGTCAGGCTGGGTTCACCAGAGTCGCTCCCTTGGGTTAAACCGATTGCAGCCCAACGCCCCAGGACGTGTGCTGGCGAAGGCAACTCCCGGGAGCTTCCCTTGGGTGGATCGGGCCCTCAGGGCCTTCTTGCGTTCGGAAGTTAGGGGGCTTGAACTTGGCGGGCCTGGCTCCCAGCTCAATTTGCGAGGACTTGGAGGACTGGAGGGGTAGGCAGGCAGGCACCTAAGCCGAGGCGAGCGATCTGAAGCATTCACTCCAAAGTCCAGCGGGGCTTTCTAGATAGTATGCCCGGTATTCCAGTTGTAAGGCCCCATCCCAACCCTGCTTAGTCCAGCTGATTTCGAGAGGGCGCCTGTGGATTTCAGCCTCAAACATGCCTCGAGTCCGCAGTGTCTTGGGGGTTTTCTTGGAATATGCATGCCTGGATACATGGGAGAATAAATGTTGAGACTGACGAGAGTTTTCCCCTTCCCCGTCTCTTCCTTTGAAATCCACTTTCTTCTAGATGCGTGTGGTCTTTCCGACGTAGCCCACGTTGAAAGTTTACAAGAGAAGTCCCAGTGCGCATTGGAAGAGTACGTGAGAAGTCAGTATCCAAACCAGCCCACTCGATTTGGAAAACTATTGCTTCGCCTGCCTTCTCTTCGCACCGTCTCTTCCTCAGTCATAGAGCAATTGTTTTTCGTCCGTTTGGTAGGTAAAACCCCCATAGAAACCCTTATCAGGGATATGTTACTGTCTGGAAGCAGTTTTAACTGGCCTTATATGGCCATCCAATAAGGAAAAAAATGTTGGAGAGAGGAAAACAAAACAAGCCTCCACAAATCAGAATTTGGGGGAAAATGGAAATTTGGAAACAAGATTTGCCAATGACATTGGGGTTTGGCAGTGGTTTAAACATCCTTCAGCTGAGCAATTATCTTTACACCTTGGCTAAAAGAAGAGAGGAGAATAATTTGAATGGACTATGAATTTTAAAAAACAGAGACTTGTTAAATGAACTTTTTACAGGATGCATTAAGAACTCCCTTGTTGTTCAGAAGTTGCTACTTCTCTCTCTTTCTCCCTCTTTCTCTCCCTTTCTCTCTCTCCTCTCTGTTTAAACAAAGGGGGAAAAAGGAAATTGTTTTTCTTTCTTTCTTTTTTGGGGGGGTGTCAAACTTTGAAACACAATCTCTTGCTAAAAGTGCATTTAAAGGAAATCTGGAGAAAATTAACAGAATGGAAACAAGTTACTCTATCTTTTCCAAATTATTATTATTTCTTATGTTGTCTGTGTACCTATAGGGTTTTGGTTGGGGTTAGGGTTTTTTTCCTGGTTCCAAACCAGTTTATTCTGTGGTTCTATAATAATTTTGATATAATATTGGCTTCATTTTTAAAAAGACCCTGTGTATTCTTTAAAGTATATGTTCTGAAAGAATTAAAACTGTCTTGGAAAGGTTTATCAGAAGAACATAAAAAGAAGGAATATCCCCCACAATACTAGGAAAGGCAGAAACGCACTTAAAACTGGTCAACCAAAATTTCGCTCCAAGCGACTACAGTTTTAATTATAGAGACCCAAAAGAAAAGAACCACAATGACCCCCCCTCACACATACACACACACACAAAACCCACCCACCCTTGACTAGGTTTTTTTATATATATATATTTTAAAAGCAAAGTGTGGATTTTGGAAGGGAATGGGTATTCTTGGAGGGAGATGGAATTGTGTCTAAGACACAACAAAGTTTTGATGAAAACACACATACACACATGCACACAAAACCACACACAGAGAATCATCACAAAGTGAACTTTTTTGTAATTTGAATGAAATTGGGTTCCGCCTACTTGTCCTGAATTGTTACCGAGTTCCTCTATCTGTTTGTATATTTGCAAGCTCTTTGTATTATAATACTTGTTGATATTTCCCTTTTTTTAAAGAAAAAAAGAAAAAAACCATTGAATTCAGCATGACAAAAAAAAAATAACACTACTGTTGGCACTTATAGATAACGTGGTTGATTCAGTATCTTAGAGTTTACAGTTTTTGTGTTTTAAAGAAAAAAGCTGAAGGTTTTTTTTAAGTGCAACATTTCTGTATACTGTAAAAGTTATAATAACTGAAAACTGTTTGGTCCAGTCTTTGTGTGTTATATTCCAAGGAAAAAATTGAAAGTATTCAGAAATTAAAATATTATTTGATATCTGACCACTTGTATGGCTCTCCTAATGTCTTGGGGGAAAGAAAATAATACTCATCTACTTTTATTCTTCTCTTAAGAGTTTGTGACCCCTGATTAGGCAGACCGCTTGTCAGAATTTGTGTCCGGCCTACTAGGTACAATGTGGATGGCAGAAGCGAAGGCGGTGGTGCTGGTGGCGGTGTGGGCACCCAGCGCCAACCCCAGCTTTTCTGTGTCTTTAGGCAATGGCAATCCCAACCCAGGCAGGTTTGCCCAGAGGTAAATTTCACAGAGTGTACCTACTGTTCTTAGGGCTGCAACCTGAGATGCCCCCCTGCCCCCCCCCCCCCCTCCTTCCTCCTACCCTCTGCTTAATTACAAATACATTGGCTGAAGAGAAGGGTAGGAAGGAAGGAGATGGCCTGTCACACTTAAATGCCTACATAGGAATTGTAATGTTGGGGGAAGGGAAAAGATAACACAAGGTTAGGATCAATACGGACAGACACACACACACACACAGAGCCTGGTTCAAGCAAAATAGCCTTTTGGTCAATGTAGGTCAGTTGTTTGCTGTGATTCTCCTTCTACTCTGTATGGCATAAAAACTTTGAATTTGCTTTGTTTTGGTTGTCATCAAGAGATCTTCTCAGCGAGAAGCCTAAATTCCGTTGTCCTTTCCTCTTTTTTGTGGGTGGAAGGCCAGACTTTTTTTGAACTATGGAAGAAAGGTGGAGTAGAGGGGTAAAGGCAACTTTCCCGGGATCTTGCATCAGGACCCAATGACTCGGGAATAGGTACCGTTGATTGCAACGGGCCTTTCCACCAACACATTGTGCTCAAGTCGGTAACCCTCTGCGCATTATTTGGGAGTGGGCCCCGTTTGGAGTAAACATTTGTAGCACCCAGGCACACTGTTTTCAGCCCTGCTTGTTGCTACCACAACTTTGCTAGAGACCACTCAAGTATGGGATCCTGGGGACTTTATCTCTGGGTAAGACTCTAGTCCTCATCAAGGATACTTTCCTAGCTCCATTTTGTATCGTGAATCCTCTCCTTTCTCCCCAAGAAGGAGTCCCCAGAATCTCCTCCATGCTTCGTCTGTAGCTTGCTTCGGTTAGGTAGCTGCCTGTGGATCAGATCGTTTATTTTTTATTTTTAATGGTGTCCTCTTGAATGGCTGCCAGGGCTTCCCTCCAAACCCCGGCTCCTTTGACAGGCGCAGGTAGACGTCTGCCTGCTGTTTCAGGGGAAGAGTGTCTCCTGGTGGAAGTGGCATTTGTGTTCTGCTCGTCTGGATGCAAGCGAGGGGCGAGGACAGTTTCTCGTGCTAATTTTACTTCGCAGGGTTTTCTGGCTTGTTTTCTCGTGTTGCAGGCGCCGATTGCACTGTGGTTCTTTCATATTCTCCTCTCTGGTGTTTAAAAGCAAGCAATCTTTCATTCAGATTCTGAGTTGTTGCCGAGTTGTTGGTTGTTGTTCTGTACCTGTCTCTCGCCTTGGTGCCCTGCCTTCCTCCAGGCGAAGTTTCTAAGCGGGACGGAAAGGGCAGTGGCAGCAAGAAACCCTAAATATAAAAAAGGTTCAATATCAGCCCAGTCACACTTTTTCCCTCCCCATTAACCTCCTTTCCCCAGATCTTCCTACATCTATCTCTGCTTATATACGCAGAATGGCTCCAAGGTGGAGTTGTTTAGAGGCCTTGAAATAGGTGTGAGTTTATGGCATTTAAGTAAAGTTTTTCTTTGCCTGCTGAGTAAGAACAAAAGAGCTCCCCGAGCTATTGACCTGGACAAAGGAGGTGGGCAGGCGACTCAGAAGGAGTTCTATGTGAAATTGACTAGGTCTTTTTAAGAACTCTTTCCCTTGAAGGGTCTGCTCCTCTCGCCCCCCCCCCCTTCGAGGGCTACTTTTTATCCCATCTCAGTGCTCCCCCCTCCCATTCCTAGCACTAATGTCCGGGGTTTCGCCTATCCTCCTTAAGAAATTCTCCACTTTAAAAACAACAGAACCAAGCTGATAAACAGTTGTAAGGCACGGATCTGGGATTATGATTTAAAATTACAGAAACGTGTCTTCTAGTTCATTACACACAGACAGAAAAACACTCGCGCGATACGAGCTAATTTTCTCGCCCTTCATCCTACCCCCTAACAATTAACTTTACTCCTCCGAACAAAGAGCGGGTGGAGGCCGGGCCGAGGGAAATTTTATCCTGAAAGTTAAAACAAAGGGCTGGGGACCCGGCCTGCCTGCGGAGAACACGCGGCGAGAGCGGGCAGGCAAGGAGAGGCTCGGGAACCCCCGTGCGCCCTGGAGTTTAAAAGGGGGGCTCCCGCGAAGCGCGCTGGTCTCCCTCCCACTCCTCCAGGAACTGGAGAGCCCGCCGCGCTTCCCCTCGAGACGTGGGCCCGTCCCAAGTGCCTTCTGCCCCCCGCCCCGCTTTGGCTGGGGAGCGGCGAAGCAGAAGGTCCGCGGGGGTGCCGGGAGGGATGGGGCGTGCGAAAGTCTCGCCTTGGCGTTGCGCTGCCAGCCAACATGGCGTCTCCCAGAAATGCTCTGCGGAAACAGGGGGAGAGGGGCGCGCACACACGTTCAGGGAGTCCCGCTAGGCGAGCCGGAGGCAAGGAAGCGCGTCGGGATCGGGAACGCGATCCTTCTCCTCGCCCTCGGGTGAGGCGGGAGGAGGCCGCGGACCCGAGGCGCGCGCGCGCCGGCGCGCAACTGCGAGAGAGCCGCAGGCGGCTGTCCCAGCCACCGCCAGGACTCTTCGCAGCTCCGCCAGCGAGTCCGGTGGTGAGCGAGGGGTGAGAGGAAGCCAAGCGAGTGGCGGGCAGGGGAAGCTCCTTCCCTTAGCCGCTGTGTGAACTGCCCCACGCGGGCACCTGGATGCGGGGCGAATGCCTCCCGTGGCGGTCGCGTTGCCCATTTCTCTGTTTTCTTTTCTGAAGAAGCAGATCTGGAGATGACTGTCGACACCTAGGCGAGGCTGCAAGGCGCTCTGCAGACCGTGCCGCTCACACGTGTGTGTCACACGTGTCCATGCCACCTTCCCAACTCGAAGAGCTGGGAACGCAGTGCAGTGTGGAGAGAAGGCCGTGGGGGGAGCTGGCTGCCCCTCCCGCCTTGAAATCCACGCCTGGCCACCCGGTCGTTCATCTGAAATGTTGAATAACTGTCTGAATAACTGTCATCTGTCTGGAGGCAGGATTGGAGCGGGGGGGGGGGAGTAGATTATTTGGAGGAAGTGTCCTCCCCGCTTCCCAAATCCCCAGCCTCAGGTGTGAGCGACTGTGCGCTCCTGGCTTCGTTTTCTGCCCCTCCCCCGCCGTAGGATGTGGGTTGTTTTCCTGTAACCTTTCCGTTTGGGGGAAGGGACTTGAAAGAAATTTGGTGAGCCGTGGGGGGAGGGCTGGTCTCTCCACTCGGGGTCTGCGGAGGGGCGGACAGCCTCGAGTGAAGACATCCGTATTGCAAAGAGGAGGGGGAGACGGGCCGGAGAGAGCGCCCCCGCAGCTTTGGTCACGCACCCGAATCGAAATGACCCGAGCACTCCGTTTGCGTCAGAACGCGTCCCTTGTCTAAACTCCAGGGCCACTGAAATCAAAAGGAATCTCTACCCGGAGAGTTCTCTCCAATTCGGTTTAAAAGGAAAAAGAAGGAAGAAAGGAAGCAAGGGGAGGGGGCAAAAGAATTAAAATTGCATTCGGGGAAGTGGCGACGTGGGTGTCTGCGGGTCCCCGTCTTCTAACAAAAGGTGCTCATTAAAAGGAGAGTATCAGAGACCTTAGGCTGCGTCCTCAGCCGCGCGGCTTGAGATGCAGTGATACACAACCGCACACACGCGCAATCCCGCTCCTGATCGTGTTTTGACTCGGTTAGCAGTAAAGCTGGAAGTCTCCGGACAAGGCTGCACCCCAGTCCCGATTTACCTGGGTGTAGGCCCAATTCCAGGCACTGGGGCTTGCTCACAAGGAAGCGTGACGCGGTCTAGCTAGGACGCCCTGAAACGGAACACGGAATTCTCTCTCTCTGCCTCTCCTCCTGTCTCTTAAGTGCTTCCGTGCATTCGCTCTCCACCGTTTGCTCCTCAGCTTATGAGGTTCCCGCAGTGCGCGTGTCTAGTTAATGGCAAATTCTTACCTCGTTGTGGTTATTTGGGGGGAAAAAAAGCTTAGTGCTGGGTGGTGCTTTGTCACAGTTTCAGAAACACTGGCGAGCCCTCTTGTCCAAATTTAAGAGTGCCTCGTGACTGGGAAGGAAGATTGCCCATCCATCCATCAGGCACTTACCTTGGATCGAGCGCTTGTCAGCCAGACCTGGGCAGGCGAGAAATGCGCATTTCTCCCGGACTAGGGTCACTCAGAGAAAAGGCTCTCGGGGGCCGGATGTCAAAGGTGTGTGAGTTTCGGGAAGGAAGTCGGAGGACTCTTCTTTATTTTTGTACACCAAAGGCAGCAAGGGGGAATAGTTCCTCCTCCACCCTTCCCTAAAGCGGTGGGTGAAACCGAAAACTGGGAAGCAGGGGCGGGAGGGGGTGCTTTCAATCGGATGCTGAGAAAAGGTGTCGCCAGGCCTCTGGGTTAAGCAGCCCGCCGCACCAGGGCTGCAGGGAGCTCCCCGCTTCCAGGCGGCGGCAAGCGGGGAAGCCACCGGGCTAGCTGGAAACCTCTGGCGCAAAGTCAGCCCAGCCTCTTTGCTCCGCGCTCTTCAGCCCCCGAAATGAGGCGCAACCCCGTCCCATCTCTTCAGATCTTCCCTAATACAAACCAGATCTGTGTCATCGGGGCTCGTGTCCGACCAGTTATAAATCGTATTGCCCTTTTGATGACGCGCTTGTAATCAGTTAGCATCGCAGCCGGGCCCAATTGTAAAACTGCCTAATTTAATATGTCAGATGTGCCGTTAAAACTTTATATATTCATATATTTATAGACACAGATATAGTCCTCCTGTCCATCTCCTGTAGGTGGAAGACGCAATAGCGCTTTCATAGCACAGCTTTCGAGGTGTAAGTTTCGCTAAG